CCATATTATAATACATAACTAAAATAATAGTAAAATAATACTATGCTGTAGTATAGTGTATTACTGTATTATAGGTAGTGTTTGAAATGTACAGACAGATTATGTTTAAAATGATTTTGGCATGCATATGTATTTAAATAAAAAAGATAATTTACGTGAACGATCCAATCAGCTTTGAATATATGACTTAATAATTTGTCTTTATGATTATTGGACCAATGAAAAGTTTGGAATTGCTGAAATTTATTGGAATTATGCCAATGAATATGATAGCATAAATATTATGAWAGGTACTTATTATATTAAATAGTCWTATTATGCTGTTATAAACTTTACCCTGCAGCAGTACATATAATTGGATGCCATATATTTTGTGAACAATTGTGAGATGGGCGGGCATTGTGCAGTTGTAGGAAGTCAAAACGAATTTGTTGACACATACGAAATACCTATATATATATAGTATCAATATTAATATTCATAATCGCGCATCGTGACCTGAACACTTCCTCAATATTATAATAGCAGTTTTATGACCCGAAAWGATGACTGCAGGTGTGGTGTATATATTATAGTTTGTATACTATTAATTCAATGTATTGTTAATTATTATTATACGATATTAAAAACTAAAWTTTTACAAGACAGACGTCGCCGAAAATATGGGTAGTTATATATAATAGATTCAGATTTCACGAATAAGTTCAACGCATGCGGTTCTTTGCATATTACATTTCAATAGTTACTAACTCTTTAAAGTACACCCGGTAAATCATATTAAAAAAAAAAAAAAGCTTCCAAAACCTTGGAAATATTATCAAAGTTACACTGCAATGGCTTTCAAATATAATATGTAATTGTTTTTTTTTAAATTAAAAATCTATATATTTTATCTCTACAATTAAAAAAAAAATCGAGTAATTAAATGCCAACTACAAAAATATCGAAATTCGACACCCACTGTACTGCGGCCGACTACTGAGTGCAGGTTACCTATATGTACCCTTTTTTATACATAAATATAGACATTATTAATGTCTYATTAATATTAGTTTGTTAACAATGAGCTTGTATAATTATTTTTTTTTTTGCAAAATAATTTGGCTGTAGACTATTGAGTACCTATACTGATACGATGTGGCTCATGGGTTTCGGAAATTCTTGAAATCGATATCTAACGGTAGTAATGCAGTGTTTTTTGGTCGTACAAAATCAACATTAATATATTGCGTATGACACGGCCTGAAACATCCAAATCATTACCAAGGTGAATGCACGAATGAAGAACAAGCTTTTTCCATACAACATCGTTTGAAATCGTCAAATCGAAGTTTAGTATCCGCAGTGCCTGAAGCCCTGAAGGTGATATATGTTTAAAATTGGCCCGCGAATGAATGGTAATATAGACACTTTATGTAGAGTACTACATAAAATATTCCTACACGATTTCGTTGGACATTATTTGGACTGCAGGTACRCTCACACTATTAATATTGGTCCATGATGTTTGTGTTTTTTCTCCATGGTGTTTGCGCTACCTTCAGGACGCAGACTAAAGCGAATCGTTGAGACTATCACTGACTGATATATATATATATATATATATACTGAATATTTGATCGAACCGTTAAGAACACGAATGGCCATTGGTCTTATGTTTGCGTTCGGACTACCATTATTTACGCAATTGCAAAATATTATTTCCATCGTCTTGTCGAAAACTGTTCAAGCGTACTTATTAATGTCTTAATTATAGTCTTATTATTGTTATATTTCAAAACATATATAACATTAAGTATTACTGCAAAAGATTGTCATCAATTATAATTTTTTAATACACACTCGCATTAAAAATAACTAACCAAGTAATTTATTACRAATTTATACGATGGTCGAGGCGGATGCAAAATATCGTTCACATTAATATGGTTTGCGTTTATCTGGGTTTCCACTATACAATGTGTTAATATGAAGAGTTTTCTTGATGGGCAACCATGGTCCTTTGGTGAAATTTGGCTTAACCATTTTGCACGATTAGTTTTAAATAGATAATGGTCAGAATATAGAAAAATAAAAGGATTAATTAATAATTTATGGTCGATACAATTTTGGATTTTGTGAATGGGGGAGTTGTTTTGATTAAAAACTGGGAAATTTAACTTTCAAAAGTACATAATATGCACAATTTTATATAGACATTTGTTCAGGTGATTAGTCATCCTGGATAAGTTATTTTAATTATTTAGATAAATCGGCATTATTTTTTAAGTCAAAAAAATACCTATACTTGGGGGAGCTAAATACCTGAATTGAAATATAATATAGTTACTATTACTACATAATATTTACAAGAGTTTGAGAAAAGTTTGGGATCAATCTACTGTCTTACAGAAATAAAATAAATTATTAATAGCGTTGATTTTAT